GGGTGCGGGAATGGTGAAGGTGCTGGTTTCGTCCCTAGAGCGGACCCAGGGCCGGGGGAGGGGCGCGTGACTTCGGAGCAGAGGCCCGCGGCCCTGAGCGCCTGGCCGCCTTGAGCCTGGTCTCCTCGTGGTGAAGAGACGGCGGCCCTAGCAGAAGGCTGTGCCTGGGCAGAGGAGGCAGTGGGTGCAAATCCTGCACACCTACACCGTACCTCCCTCTGACTGGGCGTCAATATCCAATGAGACAGGCCAGACAGCACCCAAAAGTTGTTCGGGCCACTTCTGGAGGGGCGACCAGGGCTCCCCTGGAGGTCACCCAACCTCCTGGCCGCCTCTGCGCCCAGAAATCTGGTGCCGCCCTCGGTGACTCCATGAACCGAGGCCGGGCTTCCTGATCTGGGGCTGCGAGAGCACGGGCTGAGACCTGTCCTGGTGACCTAACCCCCACAGATGGACACGCAGGAACGCCGACGGGCGCTGGCAGTGTAGGGGCTGTTCAGTGCCTGAGTATTTGGCACCGGAAGGCAGACCTGGTGGGGAGCATGTGGGGCCATCAGAGCAAGGACACTGTGGCTCCTGTAATGTCCACCTCCCCTTCCCCAGCCACTGTACCCTCAGGACCCAGATTATTCTAACAAGACCCAGGCCAGGAAGTCTTCAGATGACTTAGCTTCTCAAGAGCCTTCTACTTTTTAGTTTTACTGTATAATTGATATACAATCAACCACACATATTTTTAAAGTGCACTTTATTTGTTGACAAACATATACTCATGAAAATAATATTATAATTAGTCTGTTTTATTACTATCATTTATGGAGAAAATTAAATATGTAAAGGAAATAAAAAGTACTCAACTCCTATCAGCTAATGGCAACCATTAGTGAGATGTTATTGTTCCAAACAGGACTTTTCCTGGCCATTCATTAACTTTTTCTTTACATGAATGAGATTATACTCAATATGGTACAAAGTTTTTGCTGGGCATGGTAACCCACACCTGTAATCCCAGCAGTTAGGAGGCTGAGGCAGGAGATAGCTAGGAGTTGGGGGCAGCCTGAGCTATGTGCTATAGTGAGCTCCAGACCAGCCTATACTACACAATGAGACTCTGTCTCAAAAAGGCCAAATAAATAAACAAACACAAAATGCAGTTTTTGTATCCAGCACATTTCTGATTGTAGACATTATTCCCACAGGGTGCCGTGGCACACAACTGTAATCCTATCACTCAGGAGGCAGATGCAGGAGGATCACAAGTTTGAGACCAGACTAGGACTGCCTAGCAAGTCCAAGGCCTGCCTGCCTGGACCACATAGTAAGACCCTGTCTCAAAAGAAAAAAATTAGCAATTGTTCTCTTCCATCATGAGATATCTAGATTATTTACAAATTTTCTGTTTCCATATATTTGATATTTCCTCAGTATAAATCACCAGAAGTAGATTGGGGTCAAATGTTATAGGTCTGTTTCCTTTTTTTTGTTATTGTTCTTTTAAAATAGGAAAGCCTGTACTGTTTTTCCAAGTTAAAAGATAACATGTATATCCTTGTTAAAAATAATTCATATATAGAAATTATAAACTAGAGAAATCTCTGTAATTCTTCCTTCTGGCTGTCCTACTCAAATTCACTCCTCAGTTAAAAACTGTTAAAAATTAAACCAGAGCTGGGTGTGGTAGCACACACCTCTAACCCCAGCATTCTAGAAGGCTGAGGCAAGAGGATAGCAAGTTCCAGCCCACCCTGCAAACTAAACAATTTAGCAAGACCTATCTCCAAGTAAATCACAAAGGGCTAGAAATGTAACCCTAGCACAGAAGCCCTAGGTACAATTCCCTAGTGCCTTTACAAAAAAAGAAAAAAGTTTGTGGTAATGGATAGGTTCATGGCACAGCTAGGTATAATCCCAGAACTCAGGAGGCTGAGACAGGTGGATCCCTATGATTTCAAGGCCAGCCGGGTTACATAATGAGTTCAAGGCCATCCAGGAATAATACATACTGATACCCTGTCACAAAACAAAAACATTAAAATTAAAAATATGTTCAATTATAGATGACTATAATTTCATAATGTATATTTGTCTCCAAACTTATTAATTTGTAGATGTAAATATGAACAATTTTGTCACTACTTCAAAAAAATATTTGGTTTTTAAAAATCACTAACAAAGGGCAGGGGATTTAGCTCAGCAACATTATGCCTGCCTTGAATATACAAGGACCTGAGTTTGATCCCTGGTACCACAAAAAAATTACTAACAAACAAAGCTGAAGTTCAGAATCCCTAACAAATAGAAATATTCTCACTGATTTTTTTCATATATTATGGAAAAAAGAAATAACTTCTTTTTGCAAGTTTTTTTAAATAAAATAATAAACATGGCCAAAAAAAACCATTAAGCCTATGTACATGAGCTTATGAACATTACGCCTATAAATTTTGGAGGATAATAAAAAAAAAATTCCAAAAGTAGACTTGGATCATGGTACCACTGTATAAATTTGCTAAAAATCATTGGTAGTATATCAACAATGAGTGAATTTTATGGTATATAAATTATACCTCCTTGAAGCTATTCTTTATTTTTGTTTTTGTGGGGGGTTTTCGGTTTTTTGAGACAGGGTTTCATACTCCCTACATAGCCAGATGGGCTTCAAACTTCTGATCCCCCTACCTCCTGAGTGCTGGGATTACAGGTGTGCGCTACCTACCGCAAGGCCTGCCTTGTTTTTCTAAAACTGAAGAAACGTGGGGTTTTTTTCCCCTATGGATACACTTTTTGTATCTTTTACAAATATCAAAATGGTACCCTATGTAAGACATTGACATCTTTCCACGCCAGCACAGAGCAGCCTGGCCCTTTTCAGTGGCTGCACAGAGTTTCACAGCTAGTTGTATCACAGTTACAGAAGCATTTCTCTATTGATAGGCATTTGTGTGGCTTTTAGTCTATCTTGTCATTATGAGCACTGCCACAGCGAGCAAGCTATACAAACAGCTTTGTGTATTTGCCTGATTATGTTTCTTTAAGATACAGTGATTGAGTTTAAAAACTGTATCAATTTTTGTTACCTATACTGCCAAATTGGACTCTAAAAGGATGCATTATACCCATCTATACTCCTACAAAAATGTACGAGTACATCAGTTACATCACACCCTCACTAGCATCGAAGTATTATCTATCTTTTTAATCTTTGCCAAGTTGACAGCCCCCAAGTAACCTCTCCCTTTAATTTAGAACTCTCTGATTATTAGTGACATTTTATTTCATTTCTATGAATTCTTTTATTGTATCAATGAAGACTGTAAAATGATATTCATATCCTAGGCATGAGAGGGTCGAGTTTCTCATGCTTGGTGGGTGCTTGTGGCGCTCGATAACAGTTTATCCTTTTCACCTTGAAGTAGATGGCACCTGGATGGATTCCAATTTTCTCAGAAATGATCACGATGCTTAGATGGCTGTGTTATTTACAAATCATAGTTTAAAAGTGGGGTTTAGCCAGTGACCATCTACTCATTTAGGGCATGATTTGGAGCTCCATTCACCTTAAAAACAGTTTAAGACATTTTCACTAACCAGTTCTATGAGGAAAGTATTAGCTTCACAACAGTTTCATTAAGAAATTAGAAATTAATGTGTAGTGAGTACTTCCTCCAAGCCAGGTACTGTGACAAGTTGTTTAGACAAGTCATCTCCCTTAAACCTCACTAACACCAGAGGTTAGAATCATGATAATCCTGTATAAATGAGATAAATGGAAGCAGGGAGTTAAATGACTTGCATATGGCCCAGAAGGTAATAATGGGAGATTTGAAATTGAATTCAGAGCTTGGTGAACTTAACTGCTAGCATCTAACAACTCCACTAAGATTTTCTCCTTAGCTTCACTGAGCTTTTGAAATTGTTTTTGAAATAGAAAAGCCACTGCTGCTGGGCATGGAGGTACATGCCCGTAATCCTGTAATCCCAGCATTTAGGAGGCTGAGGCAGGAGGATCACCACGAGATCAAGGCCAGCCTGAACTGCAAGCACAACCCTGTCTTGACAGCCCCCTTAAAAAGCCGATTGCTTTTTTTCCTTTCTTCACTTTAAAACATACTCTACCTCCACTTTGCTAGCACCCAGATGTGGGTGTGAGTGTGCACGTGTGGTTGCTTAAGTGTTCCCATGTGAAAACGCATGTGAACGTGTACATGAGTGTAGGTATATGTGTATTGTATAAACGCGTGTAAATACATGTGTGTGTGTGTGTGTGTGTGTGTGCACATGGGTGAGGGCATGAGTATACTTTTCCCTTCAGACTGAGCAGTTGGAGGGCAGGGCTGGAGCACGCCCCTCCTTGCACTCCTGCATCTCGCCCAGCATCTCTCTAGTCCTGTGAATGAATGAATGAATGAATGAATAATGAAAATTAAAAAACAGTAAAAACAAAGTACACATTAGCTCCCTTCTCCTTCCTTA